ATAATTTTTGCAAAAATGATCTGTTCTGCCTACATAACGTCATACCTGCTTACTACTCAGAGAAAGTGGAAATCTTGTTAACTGGGCAGGCATTAAAGATCTATACTTTCTGTACTTTATAGCATAGGCCATAAAAAGTATGGAAAAAAGTTAATCTATGTTATCCGTGCTTTCTCTTTGTAAGATATCAGCGCAGTTCCTTTTGGCACTGGTCAGTTCAATCATTGCCTGAAATAATTCAATATTAGTTTCTCCTGGATATAATGTGCTCACACTGACTTGATGCAGGAGAGATTGAGGAAAATTGTGGCTCTCTTGTGTCCCAGTTCCTTGTAATTCTTTGGAGTCAGAGAACTGAGATCAATAGTCCATCAGCGTACAAGCTTTAGCACCTTCACAAACTGCTCCCTCAAAGCTTTCAGCCGGGTTAGATGAAATAAAACGTCCCTAGGTTACAGCTGTAAATAGCACCGCAGTTAGTTCCTGATCCGATGGTGCTAAACAAGGTCAATGCAGTCGCATATCGGGCCGTCTTCAAGCTAAAATGGTTTTAACATTGACCAAAAGCTTTAATGTTTGGAATTTATAGCTGCCTGCTCCCTCTCTGATGGTGTTAATGGGTCCACTCTCCCCCTGTACTTCTTCTGACTCTCTCCTCACTGCAGCGTCTCATGGCTCAATAATCTGACTTAACATCACCCTAATGGATGAACAGACGTACAGAGTTTTGAGTTTCTCCGCCAGCTGAAGTTCAGCGCCCCGTGACGCCCACGCCGAGGCCTCCAATTGCCTCCAGACTCTGACACATCATTTCCCCTGTGATTTGTGACAAGGGGGTCGAGGTTGAAGGAGATGAGGAAATTTTCTGTCCTCCTGAGTACAGGAGGTTTTCAGCTCTGCAGGCTGAGCTGAGGGTTGTTTCTATCCCCCCTCCCCACACCTTGGAGAACTCTCCTGCATCACAAGGAATTGGTTTCAAGCCCTGTAATGGAGGCTTGATTATAGGCTATTACACCACATTTTCAGAAAATGACCTGCAGTTTTTTTAATAAAATAAGACAGACTGTATTTGCGCCTTCAGAGAACAGTGCTTTTATATAAAAGCAGGAGACAAAACTGGAAAAAATAGAGAAATACTCCTCATAGGAAACCTGTCATACTCAAAGCATCCCATTATGCCACTCATTGATGGCATAATGGGATGCTTTGCAGATGTATTCATAGACTTTGAGCTAATTTTGTTTTATTTTTGTCCCATTGCAACCAGAACCTTTAATGTATTTTATTGTAATTTTAAGTGAACAACACATGGTTTATAGTGTTGGATTTGAAGGTAAAGGGTAAACATTTTTGGGGTTTTGTTTTTCCAAAGCATGTGCTTTTGTGTGTTTGCTTTTGTGTATTTATTTATTGCCCTGTACGATTTTAAAATTTTCCTTCATAAAATTGTTTTTCTGATACATGAGAATTCATTTTAGGAGAGCACAGAGACAAACAACCATGCACACACCCAGTGGCAACTTTGAGACACCACTCAATCTAACGAAGCTGGTGGAAAGTCACACAGGCAATTCATGATTCTGGTTCTGATTCTGAACAGTGGTACAAAATGGGCTATCATGCAGCACATGATAATCAATGATTTATAGTAAGTACAATAATGATCTTTATTTTTCTTTGCAACTTTTTACATTTCAATAAAATGCGTCATCTGCATTTATTCTATCCCTTGGAGAAGCAATGAGCTTCCATTATGCAGCGTCAGGTGAACATTTTTAGACTAAAGGCCGAAACACACCAGACACAAATTTGCTTCTTATCTGATGGAAAATCATATCCTATGAAGTTGTTTCAAATACATTTTGTTAAAATGAACAAGAGTAGCAAGACAGCTTGTGATTCTTGCGTAGGTCCTTGTGGCATAGGTTCAACCAGGATAGACCTTATGAAGCAATTTGATGGAAATATCATGAATACGATAGGAGGAGAGCCACTGTGGCAAGGTAAAACACATTAGCTTTGGGGAAAATACAAAATAAAATCTCTGAATCACAAGATAAACCAATCAGGTTCTCCCTGACACATACATATCTGTGCGTATAAAGACAACTGGGCAGACCATCAAACCTTTTGGTCGTAAGATGACAATATGAAAATGAAAAGGCTGAATGTTTTTGCATGGTAATATATATACATCAGCTAAATAGGGGCAGACTTATCAGGCAGGCGTAACAGTCACCATCTTCTCCAGCTTGAACTATGCTGCACCCCAACTGTTTGATCTTGTCTCCATAAAGCAAAGCCTCCACGGCCTCTTCTTTTAGGATGTTTGATATTGGAGTTCAGAGCTTGCAGCCCCTTTTTTCAGCAGGGGTTTCACTGTCTAACTGCATCTGATCCTTTTCTCCATCGGATAACTTCAAAGAAAAACACCTACTAACAAAAAGCTGGGGTTTGCAGTGGTGTGGTCTGTTGGATTAGCGGTTTAGTGCAGTAAAGGGTGTTCAAATGAAACATCTCTCGCTTTGCCGAAATATGTGATCAGCTTTAGGCTCTGAGATTTTGTAGCAATCAGATATTTCTTTACAATATCCTGATTTGTTTGTTGTACTGTGCATTGATCTCCAGTTCTGCTCTGCCAATACCTTCTCCTCTGTGAAACCTTTTCTCCATCACTTATCCATTATTCATCACTCCAGGCTCTTACTGCTGGACCATAATACCCATTACTTTCATATTCTGCTATCCATAAAGTAATGCAGCCCCAGCTGTTGCTTTATTTTGATTCTTAGCGAGAAAGCACATTATAAACATGGTAAGTAATCCTCTAGTAAAGATTCATTTAGATGCTGTTTCTGATTGACTAATTGATTAATCAATGTATTGTTTGTCCTTTTAAGTTTCATAAAAAGAGGAAAAAAGACATTACCACTTACTTAAAAAATATTGCTCAATTTTAATCATCCTTGGCAGTTGACTTGCGTCCAAACATACTTGTAGCTTGTTCATCATTTTTGAGTATATGTCGAAAAACAAAAGGTGATGGACTGACATCACTCTAAACTGAAAAAGCCCAAAGAGTGAATTGGTGTAAAAAAACAGCAAGTTTCACCATAAGTTCTTTGTTGACTTTCTAAACCATTGTTATTCCAAATACTAGTATTCACACATCTCATTTCTTTACCAGGCAAATTTTTGACCTTAGCATTTGCATGTTGATTATAAAATCCAGATACACCAGAAAGTATTTAGCATCTATGAAGTCGTAGCATTATATCTCACTGAAATGCATGTGGCTGGTAAGACTGCACACAATTCTTTACAATCCTGCTTGCATAGCATTGGTCAGACCAAAACAGCAATTTACTGACAAATCCATGACTAAGACAGGAAGAGACAAAGTAAAACGCATACATTTTAGGGAAAATAAAAAGTTAAAATGACTAAACCGATGGTAAATCAACGATGTTCAGCTCCATATATATTTGTCTAGAACCTCAAAATGCACATATAACAAACAGGGAAGATATGGATACATAAATAGAATAAAACAATTCAATAAGCAGTGTACTTACCAACAGTAGGACCCAATCAACAGCAGCTTTATGTTCACTACCCAGCTTGTTAATGCTCGGTGTATTTTTGATACAAACATTGCTGTGAAAGCTCGATCTTGTGCGGCTTGTGGAAAGCATTCACATTTTCTACTCAGCAGGTGTGGCAGAAAAAAATGGCTTCAGAGTTTGTCCTGACAGGACAAGTAGGAAACTACTAGTTTTGTCTGGATGGGTTTCCTTTTATATTTAAAAATCTCCAAGTGTAAGCTGTTGTAAATTCTTGATCTTACAGTTAATCATGTCAGAACTTATTAAAGACCAGAGGTTGTAATATTTCCTGTTAAAATCCTAGAATTTCACTCAGGTGTCCTTTTCTTTTTACTGTAACCACACAACACTTTTATTAAATTATCAATGTCCAATCAATCTTCTCAAAGGTAAACTATTGCTGTTATGCCTCTTGTGGCTTGGATATGCAATATTCATGTGTCTGACCAACATCCGGTCTTGATACTTCTCCAAAGCACATACCCAACTGATAACTTTGAAGAAGCTGAGCTGGCTTTTTGAAAGTATATCTTCTCACTCACATCAGGTGTGAAATGGTGTTCTATAGGGAGCAGTGATTAAGGGGTAATCTCTGCAAATTGACTGCGGGAGGAGGAGAGACCTTTGTAGGCTTGGATTTAAACACAAGATGTAACTCAGAGTCATTAGCCTTGAATCAAAAAAGCAGAGATTGAGTTTAGTACTTTCTTTCAAGTCCCTGCTTTGAAAAACATTCTCTCGCGGGAGCAGAGCTTGTTTCCTCTCAGCCACACATTTTTGATGTGCCTCTTCTCGGATCTATTTTTCATGGCACATACTTTTCCCCAAATTAGTTTTTACTTAAAAGTTAATTAAGATTTTGCATTTTATTATGGTGAAATTAAAAGCTTTAGTCTCTAGACTTTGAACTGTTTAAGTGTTATTCTTTTTATAAAGAATTTTCTGTGGTGTGTAATGGTGTATAATGGTGGTAGTTATTCGAAAAGGAAGATGTCTTTAGACATTTTGAGAGGAGGGACTGATGTGCATTGGTAGGAGTAAAAGTATCTGGCATCAGTTATGCATATTCAGACCCTCCTTCTGTTGCACCTCCCTGTACAAATTAAAGGGACTAAATGAGAATCTGGGTAACATTACTGCAACCCTTTCCAATTGCTCATATATCAAAACCCTCCCCCATACATGGCCTTGTTGCATATATATTCCCTTGGTCTTGTGTTACAGAGTATAAAACTTGAAAGCTGCACACTCGGACCTCCGATTTAGTCTTTCTGTGCCAAGGTTCAGATTCCTAATCAGTAAATCACATCAAACGTGGACCCCAGATTCATCTGTTACCCTGATTAAAACAGAGGATGATACAGCTTATGCCTAATGCTGTCTTTCCCTCCACAGAGGAAGTCGCTGATTGCCACCAGTCTGATTGTAGCTGTGTCGCTCTTCGTGGTTGTGGTGAACTTCACGGAGAAGCCGTACTTCCTCTTGCAGCCTGTGTTTGGTCAGACGTTCAGCAGCCGCTGGATGTTCTCCAAGCAGTCCTACAAGGCTTTAAAGCCTCACCTGGGCTATGTCAGAATCCCGAAACAAGAGGTGAGAGACAATACCTTTACAGCAACAACATATGCAATCAAAAACTGCTTAAATGTACTACTCTTTTAAATCAGTCTGTTTAGTATATATTTTTTATGTAACATTTAACCTTAATGCTGAAATTTTGTTGAGCTTCCATGTGCTTCAATGGATTTGGAAAAGGGTTAGGGTAGTGGTATGGGTGTAATGATATGGCGAATGTTTTATTGTACGCATTGCGCCCCTAACTACCAGGTGAATATTGTTAGAACGCCACAGCCTACCAGGGGACTGCTGCCTCTCAAACAATTCCCTGACATTTATGTGTATAGCCTTCCCTTAGGAAAACTAAAAACAATTTTCAAATATTGGCTGGTCTATAAAAGTACAAATAAATAAAACAAAGACAGAAAAGATCAATAAAAATATTGGTCTCATGTTGGTGCAGTTGATAAACAGTCCTTTAAATTGGTCGATTTGGACATAATCGAAAACCAGGGCTCTCAAAATGAACGCATTAACACAAGATGATTAATTTTCGGAATTAACAATATTTTTTTTATGCATTAACGGGTTCCTGCCCTGTTTTATCCTCACTTCAATTGTCTGATATAATTGAAATGGAGGAGTCAGAAGAACCCTTTGGCCTGCTAGATGGACTGAAAACAAAGATGGAACAGTAAACAAACATGTTGTGGTTGGCTCACACTGCAAGAAGGACTTTTCGTTTCACCAAAGCACCTCAAGCCTTAATTATCCTCTTAACGCCAAGCATTTATTTGTTGGGGCGTCAACTTCAGGTGTTTCGCCTGACATGCGTCAGACCCTCACCGAGCGCAGGGCATTAAGTAAGTCAAGTACATCCAAGAAGCTGACAGACAAAATCCAAGATAAATAGCCAAGGACTGTTGACCAAACAATATTGTCGTGGAGACAGAAGTTTTGAAAGTTACGACTTTAGACGCCCGCTTCAAGTCACCATTGAGAGGCACAGTGATGACTAAAATAAACAAACTTTATGAGGCTAAAAATAAAACAAAGAAAGAGGAACTTGGCTTCAGCGGAATATGTTGCTTTGACAGGAGACCACTGGACATCCGTGAGTAACAATAAATATTTGGGTGTAACGGCTTGTTTGTTTAAAATGAAAAAACGTTCCATTCACTTATCCTGTATTTGCAACAAAAAAAAGTGAAATGGCTAAGTTGCCAAAATCATTGAGAATGAAAGTATTTCTTTGGACACTAAATGTAATATCCACTTCTTGACATTTATCTTTCTGTTCTGAAAACAGAACAGACATTTAACAGAAACTGTGCATTTTTCAATAATATTTAGGATTGTGTTAAAATAAAATTAATTCAAGAAACCTTAAATTTTTAATCATTTGACAGTTCAATCGAAAACATAACTTTTCGTATGGGTTGGTAACAGATAGGTCTGCTGTTAAATGTCAGGTGGTTCAACATAAGGTATGATTCTCAAACCTGAATGTCAGTACTGATGGTGGAGTAGTCTGATAATCTTACAGTCTTTCTGGACTGCTATTTTACTTTTGTAGATGATGTAAGATGGTGACTAACCAAAGCATTTCTTAAATCATGTGCATGCAGTGTAGGCTCCGGGCAGGACATGTCAGCCGTCTTGACTTGATCCCTCCATCATTCTCAGAAAAGGTTAATGTGTTCCCATCAGAAGCCTTTTATGTAAATTAACCTCACTATTAAGAGGTCCTCTCAAGGCCACACAGCCGGTCCGTCCCATTACCTTTCATTTTCTTGCATTGCATCAGTTCAAACACATTAATCTCAGCATGACATTTTGAAACTTTTAGCTTAGTTTGGTCTTGGTCGCAATCTTATTTAAAATATTCCAATTCAGCTTGATGCTCATTTTAGTAAATTAGGTCGCCCATTTTGAGTAAAATGGCCAGTAAAGCAGGGTGTACTTAGGAGGTACTGTCTGAATGACAAGTAGCCCCACAAGCTGCATGCACAGAGCCATGGGTGCTTACTTAGATCCATTTCTCACTTGATGTCCTTCTTTCCTGGTCTGTGGTTTGACAGTTCAACCTTAAGCTTGTTACATAAATGGAAAGAACAGAGAAATTTGTTCTTTGTAATTTGTTTACTTATATAAAGTGCCATCTGTACTAAAAGAAAACATGATAGCATTGCTTCTACCAGCCAATCCTCAATACCGTCCATTACATAACACTGTACAGGTTTCCCCACCTGAAATAAAGGGAGAATTTCCTACCCGAACACAAAGGGGAAAGTCAACTCTGCTTTTCATACTAACGGCGCTACTATGACTACTAGAATGGAGATTTTTCAATTTGCCGCCTGTCGCTGCCTTACACCGTACCTGGTGCCCTTGGGCAGTGTGTGACACCTGTGGGTGGAACGCTGGATAAAATAATATGGCTAGAGTTAAAGGAAACTGTTATGATGTAATTCAAGTCAGAGTTATTAATGAAACTGGATTTATAAATGGAAAGAAAATAACTGTCTAGAATTTAAACCATGTTCCTGTTGCAACTGTTTAGCATTAAGTGGACTCATTTTCTGTTTCCACTTAAAGCACTGTTATGGATGAGTTTGCTCAAAATCTTCCATTCACACATATTTCATCTTGAATTAGACTCTTATTTATTGTTTATCACCTGGAAAGTTTGGATTAGATCTACAGTCCCACAATTAACAAGTTATTTTTATGCATTGCCATTTAATGTAATGGTATTCCATTACATATTACACCTACTGTGTTGCTATTCATTCATATTTTCAGAGACAGATCATAACGTGATACATCTGAATACTGATTGTATTATTGTTATTATTTCTTTGTGAACCACAATTCCTTGCTCCTCATTCCACCTCTCCTCACTGTGGTGTGAAGGTAAAATAACCCTGGAGGCCTCATCTTGTCTTGTTTTCCTGGATCCAGTTTTTGCAAAACAATATGTTGTCACCTTTTTCCATAATAGCTCAGTGAAATAGGCTCAGAGCGTTTTAGATCATCAGTCAAGTTTAATAGGAAATGTCATTATGATTAATTCCAATTCTGTGTGTTGTTTGTACCCTTGGAAATCTGGTAGTTACTAATTACAACCTCCAAGATGTCCAGAATAACTACAAAAGATAAGAGTATGCAATAAAGGAATAGTAACTTTTGGAGGTGTTTTCTAAGGGTGCAAACAATGTCTGGTGATTCCAATACAACATTCCCTCAAATAAAATTCACTTGATACTGGCAAGTGAGTGTTTCTTGATATCGCAGCATTAAATTTTACTTAAATCATTTTTGTGCAAATACTTTTTAATATATATATTTTTTAAGTAAATCATATGAGTTGATCTTTTCAGTGTACTAAAAGAGGTTTCTTAGCAGTGATTTCCAAATGTTGTGTTATGGTGTAAATTTTCTCTAAAAGTTATGAACATATATTGAAAACAACATGGTGGAAATGGTCGGCACACATTTTAAAGGTCAAGGGAAAAAGAAATGCTCAGTATGAATCAAGGTTGTTTCCTCCTTTTTTAGAATAAGGTGAAAGCATCTTATTTTAAAAGGAAACTGAAATCTTCTTTTTGCTTCAAGACTTGCTTCTTAAAAACAAAAAATAATAATGTTACCTTCGTATCCTTCAAGCATCTATCGACATAAAACCTTAACTTTTCATCTCAGCTTCACAAAAAAAGATAATGGAATGCAAACACAGCAGCCCCATAAAGATTTCCTTAATTCATTGTATCCGTATCCCTGCAACGTATCCCAGATTGTCTCGTTTGATGTCTTTTTTGTGTTGTATGTCTTTGTAAACCATAATAACCTTGACAGTGAAGCTGTTCTCCTGCCTTCAAACAGCTCGTGATTATTCTTCCAGCACAATTATGCGAAATGAAATATCAAAGCCTTTTTTTGGTGTTAAATAGCCCCTCAGTAAAATAAAAGACGTGTGCAACAGAAGGTGAAGGAGAATGTGGGTGAAAAACACGAAGCTCCTACTATTTGAAGGCTAGTTTTGAAGTTGCAGAAGATGCTTTGTCCTTCATTAGAAGTGGATGGCCTGCGTTTGGGAAGAAAGGTTGATATTGGCAGATTAATGTGCATCGTCTTCCTCTGCCTCCAGAGACTTTCATCTACAAAACACAGGCCCAGAGGCAATCATGCATTACACCAATCTCTACGTCTGCGCCTCCTCCAGCCTTCAGACGAGCCTGCTTAAATCAACGGCCTCTCCCTGTGGAGATTTAGGGAAGTCATTTGAAAAGGCAGTCAGCTTGTGCAGAATTACGCCTCTGTCTGTCTCTCTCTCCACTCCAGTGAGTTTTTTGCTGTAAACTAGAATGAGCAGTGATAGGCTTGAGCATCTGTTTAGATTGGTCTGCCCCGATAGCTTTTCAGCAACACTATAACAGGCTCCAAAGGCAGGGATCTTTCTCTTGGAAGGTAGACGGTCTTACCTGATACAGCCAGGTGTCATTTCACTCACATGTATTATGCATAGCTTGGCAGCAGTGGAAGCTGCCTTAGCTCCCAGCCTTATTTTCCTCATTTGATTGTGTATGTCTGCAGGTGTGATTTATTGTCCCTGTTCTGCTTTCCTAGAGAAATACAAAACATTTGTCGTGCAGAATTTTACATTCATACCTCTGGTCCGTCACATGCTGAGCAGAAACATTTGCATACTGATTACTATGCTTTCGTTTTGGCAAATGACATACATTTTAAAGGGAGCTATTCTGCTTTTTTTTTTACTTTATTAAATAAAAATCTTTACATTTCAGGTTGGTAGAACCATCTGTTCAATTATTTTTTTTTATATTTTCCTCCTCAGTGCTCTAATGCTCCTAATTCAAACAAGAGAATGACTGAATTGGGTTGCCCAATCCAAACTTGTTCTCCTAATTAGCAAAGTAATTATTTATTTATTAATGAATTAGTAGAGACTTGACGCCTTTGCTCTGTCAGTTGAATTAAAATCAGGCCTTCAGAATGAGTTAAGACCTTTGAGA